CGAGGCATCAGGATCTGCGCGCGCGACATTGTCAGGGCGCGCGGCGCTGTTGTCAATGGCCAGCCCTTGGGCGCTGGCGAGAGGCATCGGTGGAGCGACAGAGGCACATGCGCGCTTGTCACTTGGCGCAGCTAAGACTACGGGGCCGACCATGGCGCTAGGCATTGTGAGGCTTGCTAGGCCGCCATGGGGCACGACCAAGGGGTCATGGGGGATGTCTGGGAAGCAGCCCATGACATTGGTGATGAAAATGGCACTCCCAAGTTGCTCCAAAATCGCCACCCATGGAGAGAATATGGTGAGAATGAGTCAAACCCTCGCTTTAAAAGAACACAATGCCCAGCCCGATTTTCGCACATGTGGTCACTTGACTGCTTCTGCGCTTCCGCAGCTGCGGCCCCACTACCGCTTTTGCGGCCTTTAACCAGGCCCCTTACTCCGCTTCTGCGCTTCCCCTTCCGCAGGTGCGGTTTCGCTTCTGCGGCAAGATGACCGCATCTGCGGTCCCACCATTTCCCCTTCTCAACCGCATTTGCGCTCCTTTGGTCGCTTCTGCGGCTCCGCACCTGCGGCCAAGACCTCATAGGTGCGGTTACACCAGATGACATCAGGCTTCAGCTCTTTCTCCCAACTCCAATTTGATCCGTTAACCACCCGAGGCCCTCGGGACCCCGTCCAATCACACCAATCAATTCCAAAACACATTATGAACCTAGTCGTGCCTTCAAATCACATCAAATGATGCCAAAACCATGAATCATACTCCAATTCGAGCTTTATGAACGTTAGAATTTCTAACTTTTTCATTCGATGCCGAAACCTATCAAACCGCGTCCGATTGACCTCAAATTTTGCACACAAGTCATATTCGACATTACAGACCTACTCCAACTTCCTGAATCGGAATCCGACCCCAATATCAAAAAGTCCACTTCCGGTCAAACTTCTCAAAACCTTCAAATATCTAACTTTAGCCAAATGACTCCAAAATAAACTACGGACCTCCGAATTTACTTCCGATCGTGCTCCCAATGTTGGAATCACCATACGGAGTTGTTCCCAGACTCTGAGACCCAAACGGACATCGATAACACTGAAATGCACTTCAAACGAAACTTATGAAATTTCTTCCGAAAAGGCTAACTTCCACAATAAGCGTCGAAACGCTCCTGTGTCATCCAAAACCTGATCTGGACATACCCCAAGTCCAAAATCATCATACAAACTTGTTGGAACCTTCAAATTCCGATTCTGAGGTCGTTTACTCAAAAATTCGATCTTAGTCAATTCTTTCAACTTAAAGCTTCCGAAATGAGAATTTCCTTTCCAAATCAACTCCGAGCTTCCCAAAATTCAATTCCGACTATGCGTACAAGTCATAATACCTGAAGTGAAGCTGCTCATGGCCTCAAACTACCGAACAACGCTATTGCTCAAAACGACCGGTCGGGTCGTTACATTCTCTCCCACTTAAACATACGTTCGTCCTCGAACGTGCAGAGAACTGCACTAGAGTTGTCCGAAATCATTGTTTAACACCTTGTACACCTACCTGTGCTACCACAACTCAGTTGAGCACATTAGCTCGATCAAATCTGAAGATATCCTCTTTTATTTAGGCAAATGAGCCTTAGAGCCCAATTTCAACATCCGAAATTCTTTGCCAGGCCTACTTCTAACATATGAACATTGTATCAATCACCACACGATGCACCGATACAAGATTGCATACCTTTGCTGAATTCACACTATGCACTGCATAACTCACATGACCATAATAACATCCTCTGATAACAATAGCCGAAATTCCACTAATCTGATGCTCCCATCGCACCTATTGACATATATAAATCATGTCCTAACCCTTTTTGCAATACCGCCATGACGGAAGAGATGTGTAGAAATTCATAACCAACTGTCGAGCCAACAAATCATTGAGTCTATACTCCTGCAAGAACCATTACCTCATTCTGAACCAATTAGTGGTATTTGCTCTTCAATACACTTCATATAAATTTGCCGGCACTGATCTCAGGTCCAACAATCTCGTCTCACCCAGTACGAACTACTCAGGCAATAAGCCACCCAGACATGACCAAAAGCCTCATATGATGCCATAATGTGCCAATAGGCTACCAAATCGAACGTGATACATAAGGAAAACGAACTCTGGAAGGGACTACTCAACTCACGCAACTAATATGGGCTTCCCTCAGAAAATGGGAAACAAAACACACATAAATAGAATATAGGAAACTGTGCTCAACATCATACTATTATGGCATGCAACTGGATCCAAACAACATACCCGTGGTGGCGTGCCACCCGATCCACACATAAAATTCACATAAGGAGATACACATCGACCTAAATCGCTCATTACTATAAAATACCGAATATCGGTCACAAGCACGCTAAGTGTGTAATATCATCCCTAGGGAGACAGACAACACCATAAGCTACAAAACTCAAGCACAAATGAGGTGCGATATATGATCTGAATTTCAAGAGCCATCCTGCTCACATAACACCATTGCTACACGGAACCTCAACACATAAGAAATTTATCAAGCCGTTTCACAACTCACACTCCACAATATAGCATTAAATGAAATAGTCGATGACAAAATAGCATCCAACATCAGAATACTCCTCCATAAGGAGCGCTATGCTGAAATGAACACACCTGGCCTTTTATAGAGCCCATACTCACATTTAAACCCATCTATAGACTTGAAGCCAATTCTGATCGCATTGTACTAGGCTAATAACCTTTCATGGATCCATAATAACCCCCCTCTTTCCATAACACACAAGGACAACCATCATAACCGGAGCAAACCTCCACAGTCCACAATCCAATAAATCGAGTGCCCTCTAGGCATAAATTCTCAAATTAGCGATATTACCACAATCTTCATACTTAGTTTAAATTTCTAATCAATCAAGTGACTACCTGCCACACTTATACAATCTCCCCGTGAGACACGCTCCCACGACCTTCCGCACCAGATAACAAGTCTGCACATCCATATCACCGGCTGCACTAACGATGTAAAGCGAATCAAGAATCCATAACCAGGATGCAAAGCCTCTTTCACAAAACACCAATATCAGATGATGCGGAAGACAATACCAGCTTACTCTAAACATTCAAATCCCTTTCTTGTTCATCCGAGCTTGTGCTTGCCAACACCGAACCGCAACCTCGATCCTCACCTTCAATTTTTATACCGCTCACTACACCTAACATGCCAATATGTGATAGTACAAGCATTTCATCATAACTCCTGAACCGCTATTAGGGTATACACTTCATCATACAGAAACCTTTTACTTAACTCATTCCAAGAGAATCATAGCAACACGCGAGTGAATTCTCATAACCGTAGAACATGCAAATCCTCAAGTAGTGGTCTAAGCCACCATAACCCTTCCGGGATCCACCCACACATAATAGGCCTTAATACTTGAATACTCCCAAATAAAATCAATTATGGTGGCCGTCAAGCCTCGCACGTATCGCCACAAATCACATGCATAACTTAATCACGCTGAAGGTACTGATTATTGCCACCAGTATGCCAATTCAACCATGGCTAACCAATTTGACTTCTTCTAACTTATCCTTAACTTGCCTTAGAGATAATAATAGCTCCGGCCAACACATAACAACTCAATCCGCACTCATCCTGAGTGGCCTTGTATCACGAGACTATGCTGTCTCAAATCCCACGAACCATCCCATACCTTCCTTGTGCACACATTCACATCCTTAGCTGGTAAGCCCTTTATGATAACCCCTCTATGAATCCGAAGTCATTTCCTCTAATTCATCCAAATGCCACACTGCAAACCGAAAATATCATAGAACATTCGGAGCCTCCTATTACAATCTGCTGCAAAAGCTCGGTTCTTAACCACACCGCGAGATTGAAATCCTTAAGCACCACATTTTTTAACCTTTGAATTCACTAGGACCATTGTTGAGAGTCACCCATTCCGTCTTGGTCCCGAATATAATCAACTCCAAGGCTCTGTTGACACATGAACACCTATCTCAATGAAGCACCCAACTAAATCAGTCCCCTTGTAACTCACCTCTAGACGAAGCATAAATCCTAAATCTTCCCCCACAGCCTGAACATGAGTCAATAAGGCCAACTATAGCACACCTTTATCAAATCTTTTCTCAAATTAC